CTGCCCTGCCTTCCCAGAGTTCCCTACCAATCACCCAACCCTTCTTGCGGCTCGTTGCAGATGGCGGAGATGATTCAGATCGTAGAGGAGTCCGGCCTCAACATCTACAACCTCTATGCCCCGTGCGATGGTGGTGTCCCTGGGAGCATGAGGTGAGACTGGCCCCAGGGGAGACGGGTCTTGCTTTGGTTTGCAGCGCGTGGGGTCCTGGCTGGCAGAGGGGTCCCTCTGGGACAGGTGGACTCTGTCTGGCTGCTGTCGAGGACTCCCCCGAGGGAGGACCCTGAGTCCTCCTTCCTCCAGAGCTTTCAGCCTGTCCCTGTGCTCGTTCGGCTGCAGGTACGAGGGTGACTATCTTATCACACATGACCTGGGCAACTCCTTCATCCAGATGCCGATGAGGTTCTCCTGGCGGCAGGTGAGCCCGGGTGCCCGTGCCCCAGGCTGCGTTTTTTTTTCTCTGCCTGCCCTGTGGTGCTGCCTGTGGGCAGGAGGGGGCAAAGAGCAGCTGCTCCCATGGGGCAGCACCAGGTGCTGCTGTGGCAGGGACTCTTCCCAACTCTCTCCCAGAACCTGTTCCGGATGCCGGTAGCCCGGAAGAAGGTCCGGATGGACCCTCCCTGCACGAACTCCACAGCCCTCCGCGTGTATCTGAACTCTCCGGAGGTGAGGAAGGCTCTTCACATCTCCCCCGACGCCCCAGAGTGGCAGGTGTGCAGGTGAGCAAGCTCTGGGCTGGGAGGGACCACCATGAGCCTGAGCAGCTGCGTGACGCCCACGCTTCCTCTGCAGCTTCGAGGTGAACCGCAGCTACAAGCGCCTGTACATGCAGATGAACAGCAAATACCTGAAGCTGCTCGGAGCCACGGTGCGTGTGGGGGAAGCCACCGGGCCCTGAGACCGGCTCTGCAAACCGGCCTCCTGCCTGGCCGGGGCTGCTGTCCTGCGTAACGCTCACCCTCCTCCTGCTCTGCAGAAATACCGGATCCTGGTGTACAACGGGGACGTCGACATGGCCTGCAACTTCCTCGGGGACGAGTGGTTTGTGGACTCCCTGTGCCAGAAGGTAAATGGGCAGGGCCGGGCCTGGGCCAGGCCGGTCACCAGCTCCAGGCTGCGCAGTTGTCTGCGCGCCGGGGCCGGCTGCGGCGAGGGCGTGGG